TGCCATATTAAAACCGAATTAATAAAGAAACCACCTTACCCTGAGCATACAGAGAATCCTTGCCCTTTTTGTACTGTGTCACTTTATGAGGTTGGTGCTTGCCACACTTCTTACAGAAGGTCCGGCGGGTTTTAGGGACGTTCACCTAGTAAGTAAGTCGTTCAGTACGTGCCATGTTAGCAGATCACAATGTCACAACGCCTTACCTGCTGAAGCTGAGCGAAGGCCAGGACTCGACACTAACTCCCCCGCTAACACGCCACGCTCTCACAGCTCTCAGACTACAAGGCAGTCCGCCCCATGTGCTTCAGCAGAGAGCCCTCCGTTGCGCCCCTGAGAGGGTAGAGGTCTGGCTAACTCCACCTCCAGCTAAGTCTACCTCTCAGATCCTATCACTCCCAATTCTCAGCCCAGGAGCTTAGTCCCTTCAGGGTCGACCCCTGTAAATCTGGGTTTCTTTGACACATCTAGCCCACAAAAGAGCCTACACCCATCCTGGGGAAGCACCGTCAAAACGGTGGGAAAAGATTAAGCTGGATGTTACTCGGTCACCGTACCATGCTTGCGGGCCTGCTATCTGCACAAAAAGAGAGATGAAGGCCGGAACCGGAAGTTTATAGGAGGTTCCTGGTCGCAGTTCCTCATGGGAGTCTGTGGGAAAGATCATAGAGTCTAATGCTCAGTGCGCAGCGCCCTCTGGCGCCTGAGAGGACTCATTTCGAAGCCGCGCGCGGGAGTTTAGGGAAGGGCTCCGCCTAAAGGTTGGCCCACTCTCCTTGACTTCCTCCTGCCCCTCCCCAGCTTGGCAGCTTTTCTTTACTTCATTGCTTTTTTTCTGGATGCTGCTACATATTATACATAGTTAGGTGGATCGAGCAGAGCTCTTCCCAGAGCCACTGGCCTCTTTATTCCCTTATGAAACCGTGACTAGGGCAGAATAGAGGGGCTCTCCACTTCCCCATTCCATTCCTCTCCCACCTCAACGACACTGAGAACAGCTATTGCAGCTACTCGATGGTTCAAAGAAGGCCTGGAGGGAGCATGTGCTCCAGTTCTATCAGCCAGACAGTTGTGCCATTCAACAAAGCATGTACTGAATGCCTATGTGTCAGGCACTGTTTTAGGGGAGGGACATAATAAACTAGTACACTCATGAATGTACACTTAGGAACTAAGTACTTTGAAGAAAGAGAACAATGATGAGCATTAAAGCAGCACCCTTGCCCAGACAGTGGTGGATGCTTTTAAGACGCTGGGCTCTGCAGACTGGGACCACACCCATTCTGGGTACAATCTAGGGTAGGTGGTGGCCTGAGCTTGTATTCTTCCTGTAATTCCAGCTACTTGGAGGTTGAGGCAGGACGATCCTGAGCTAGATGCTGGGCTAGGCAACATAGCATGACCCTGTCTGGGGAAGAGCCAGGCCTGATGGTGTACACCTCTGGTCCCAACTGGGAGGCCAAGGCAGAAGGATGCACACAGGGAGATACTGTCTTTTTTAAAAGGCAGCGTTCTTTTGTTGAGGGAGAAAAATGACTGCTCTAGATTCTGAAAAGTGACAATGAAATTGTACAGCTCCAACAATAGCAATAATCAGGCCAAGAGATAAAACGTATCCAGCAATTCTTCCCTTCCCAGAAAAGCTGGTGAAAAGGCTTGGGCATTACTGGGTTTTGAGGGGTGCTAAGCATTTTAAGTGCATTGTCTCATAAAAATACAGTTATTTTCCTTTATCTTTTTTTGATTTTGGTTTTTGCCATAGGGCATGTGCACTTGTGAGAGAAAAACAGAGGGAAAGTGAGAAATCACCCCCTAGGGGGATGACCATATCATCCATTCTCTTGGGATTTGGGACATGCATGCACATGTGCCTGGTGTGATTTTCAAGCTGCTGGGTCCAGTGCTTGAACCAGTTAACCGCGTGGGAGTCCAGCTCCTTAACTACCACACCTCCTGCTGGCCCATCTCACAGTAATTCTAAGGAAGTAGGTGATACTTATAATTCCCATTTTACTGATGAGTAAATCAAGGGATGTTAAATTATTTACCCAGTGTCAATAGTATTTAGTGGAGCTAGGATACAACCCAGATGATCTAACTCCAGAGCCTGGTTTCCTTTACCATTACACAATATTGCTCTTGTAGCCTACTAATTATAATAGCTAACAATTATAGTGCACTTATTATATGCCAGGCAGTCTCCTAATTTACATGCTACTTTTTATCCTAACAACAACCCCAGGAGGTATGTTCCATTATCAGCATTTAGTTGGTGAGGAAATTGAGTCACAAAAGGTATCAAATTCCCTTACCTTAAGTCACACAGGTAGTTATTTTGTGGATCTGGAATTTGATTCTAAGTGGTCTAACAGCATAACCCTGCACTTAACCACTGTGTCACAGGGAAGCAGAGTAGAGGATGGTGAGGGGGGAGAATGGAGCTGGGACACAAGAGGAGATGCCAGTGGATTAGGGGATAAAAAATTATGACAGTTGAGGTATTCTGCTTGCATAACCATCCAGAACACCCGTGGGTCCTGAACTGACTTTCTCATCACCCCATTTTATGTTGTAGAAAGTACCACTACATGCTACATTTCCTAAAAGTTGATTTGTCAAACTGTCAGCCTGTAGTCTCATAGCATTTTCTTCTCTCCAGACCCGTATACAATCCCACTGACCTTTGCGGAAAGGTTTCTTTATGTTAGTAACATGGAAGTATGAAGATAGTGAGTGAACCCCCTTTATCTAATCAACTTTAGGTCTTTCTATCGTTCCTCATGTGATATGGCTTCAGGTTTCTTGTTTGTTATTTTTAAATATTTAATTGACAAAAAAGTGTGTATATTCAAGGTTTGACTTATATATACATTGTGTAATGATTACCAGACAAATAAACTAACTTAGTAAACAATACAGTATTATTAACTGCTGTCACCATGCTGTCTAGGACTTATGCATATTGTAACTGGAAGTTTGTACAGTAATCCCCATCTCTATTTTGGACACACTTCTGCTCATTAATTTCCCCGACGATGGTGTATTCAGAACTAAACATGGGACTCTGGGTCTGATCTGGCCTTGAAGGGTAAGTGGCACATTCACTTTCCTCTGTCTAGATATTTTATTTTATTTATTTATTTTTTTGACCACA